TGCCATTGTAGAATGTTAAAAGGAATAAGAAGAACAGGCTCAGGATTGGAGCGATTTAAACAAACTCAGTAGAATATAGTAGATGATTAAAATACAATCTATAATTACATTACACTGGTATCAGGTAAGGATAAAAGCCTATAAATACACTAGGGTCAGGGTAAGCATAAAAAATGAAACCGTTATTTGAATAATCTGAGATCAAGTTGCAGTAATTAAAAACGAATGTATTATTCAAATGAAGGAATTAGGTTACAACACTCCTCGTATGAAAATATTATTGTGACAGACTGAAATAAGTTGGAAATGATTTTGATTAAAAATGGGTAGAGGAATGTAATAACTTGCACTGGGGAAAAGTAGACAATCAGGGAATATAAAATAAAATTTTTAGGGGCTGCCAGATGAGAGCCTAAGTGAGCCTAACTTTTCAAATGCTTTTTGATATCTTAAACTTACAATTGATAAGCTTCTGTTGCTATTTCATTAAATGATTTAATTTCCAAAATCTTTCAGGGGTTCTAATTTCTTGCCAAAAAATTTAGATGAGGAGGGAAAACGTGTTTTCTCCTGTAAAAATGTACATAGAACTGAAGCAGGGTGGAGGAGAAGGGTATTATTTGTTACTTTAACTTGTCTTATAGTTAAGGGATGAAAATAATTTTATTTACCTTATTGCAAACATCTCCAGTTAAATATGCAATTGCATTTGTCAAATATGGCGAGAAAACAAACTTAGTAAGGGGCACGCACAGCCTCTGCCGCCCTCCACCCTCTCTCCCTAGCTCCTTCCTCCCCTCACTCTCCCGCTCCCCTTAAAGGGGGCACTGCTTTGTACTGTGCTCAGAGATGTACATGTTCCTCTTCTGTTATCGTTTCTAAAAGCTGCAGAGTCAAATCCACATGTAGTATCCAAAAACTAAGATGATCTGCTGCAACAACATCGGTAAATCTAGGTTCTGGGAAAGTAGCCGCATCTATTAAAAACAATAGATTCTTGAACTATTTATGATTTTTCAGAAAGTAGGCAGCATTTCAAAAGTAGGCAGCATAATGTTCTCCTTAGGTATTTTTGCCAGTGATAGAGAAGTTTTGTCACTAAGGCCAGAGAAAATATTCAAACAGTAGATTTCATGTGAACATTCCCCAGTGTTCTTCAGTGACCTGGTTTTAAAAACCTGACAGAAGACCATGCTGTGAACACCTACCAATTACTTTATACCTTGTTAGTGGATAGATCAGACTCCTGTCACATTCCCACTGCTTTAAGAGGGAAAGTGTATGCGCATCTCTATGACCGCAGAAAGAATTTTAGATTTATTCTCCAGGACGGCCTCCTTCCATTCGCTTCTGTGTCGTTAGTCACCTGGACGAAGGCAGACTTTTAGGGCTCACCCCTAGGGCACATCTGAGCAGCAGCAGCATCCAGGCTCTGTCCCAGGTGGACAAGGGTCTCTTCTGCACGTCGAAACCCTGAGAGCTCCCTGCCCACCACACCATGGACTTGCCTGAGCATCTGGATCTGTGGGCTGAGAGGAAAGAGCTTTGGGGGGGAGACGTGGGCTCCACGCTGACGGTTCAGGATCTCTGTCAGTGGGGGCACTGTGTTTCTAATTTGTGCGCCAGTGGATACAGTCACACCACCAACCGCAACAGTTATTCGGAGAGACACAAAAAAATACCATAGAAAGGTTTTAAGAGATCCTAACCAGCGTTACACAGTGCAAGTAATTAACAGCGCATCCATCCTACAAGAGGCCTGCTATAGAAAATGAGTGAAGTTTGTGTCTTCTGTGAAAACAAACATCACTATAGACACACCACACACGTGTGCACACTGTCTGCATGGCCTCTGGCTTCTCCCCTGAGTCCTCGGAGCTCCTACAGTTCTAGACACCTCCATGGTTCCTGCCAGACGTAAATATTTACAGTTTTATGAGCAACATTCAAAGGAGCAGGGTGAAATATGCCTCGAGATTTGCAAGAAGTCCCGTCCTGTTTCGGAGTCTTATTCGGAGAGGTGAGGGAGAGGACCGAGGTTCCCTCTGCCGTGATAACCCACCACCTGTTCGGGTTTTTATGGCTTCTGCGGTTTCCATGTTGTTTTCCTTTGATCCTCTGAGGAATGGCGTCAAGCGTGTGAAGCCCACCGTGCTTCTTTTTAAAAGGAGGCCTCTTGCGTCCTGCGGCACTAGCCTCGGTCTCTCAAGCTACCCCAGACACAAATGAGGGCCCCATGTGCGTCCACGGCAGCCGCCCTGTGCTTTGACTTCTCTAGTCCCGCAGGTCCTGCCGGCTTTCCTGGGCCATTTCCAGGGCTCCTGTAGCTTCCTACTGTGGGGTTCTTCAGATCAGCGCTCCTCCCTAGAGCAGGCATTGCGGTTTCCTCCTCCCGGTGACTGCCATCTCCCCTCCTGTGCTGCCCGGAGTCGGGAGCAAGCGAAGCCCATTCCTCCTTCCCTCAGAGAATCCAGGGTGCGGGGGCGACACGTAGCAGGGCCTCCACGTCCCCGCCTTTATTGTCATTTCATGTGTGTCAGAACTGTGTTGGTTCTCAAAGACTCCAGTCCTATAATGAGCCTCGGTCTTGAACTTTTATTTTTATCCTGTATCTCCTTTTCCGTCTTTTCTCTTATCACTGCTTATAAAACACGACCACAGTTTGTCCTTCGCCTGACCCTACCTCTGTTGAAATCCTTTTCAAGCCTTAATTATATCCTGTCTCGACTTTCTCAGTTCCTTCTCAGCGATCTTCCACTCCCTAATTTTTTGACTTTACTGAATACTTCAACCAGACTGTCCGGTAGACCCTTTGTGTGCAGGGAAGGAGCGATGTTGGACCACCCCCCCCACCTATCTCCTTGTATGTCCATTTTAATGCTTCTGTGAAGAGGAATAGTCAGCTTACCTTCCTTATCTTTTCTAAAACTGTACCAAAGAAGGTGGATTCCCCTTTGCCCCACAATCTCCCCCTCATTTTTCTCTGTTTGTTTATGTTTAATGTCTATTGGGTTGTAAATACAGTAGATACGCTGATCTTTTAACTGGGCTTGGCCTAGTCAAGTTAGAACTGAAAGCGCAAAGCATGAAAATATCAGGAAGAGACACAGCAGGGACTGGCAGCGTCCTAGTGGATTTTTCTGGGCACTACACCGCCCTGCATAAACGTCTTAGAAGATATAAATGTTTTCTAAAAGGTTTTAGTCTAAAGGAAAATAGCTGAAAGGAGTACAAACTAAAGCCAAGTGACTCTTTGCTCAGAAATGTATTTCTATTTCTAAACTTCTCCTCCACTGACAGCTCATGACCAAGGCTTTCTATCTCCTTGACTGTGAGTAAAACCGAGATCGGCGCTAAGTGTTTAAACAGTGTCATAGAAGCTGACAACTCCAGTGCTGCTTAGATTGGCAGCCACACCTTGCAGCACGTGATCGCTCCTGAGGCAAGTGAGTTCTCTTCCCTGCTCCAGGAAATCTCCTGACAACTCGTAACCTTAGCCAAAAGGCTCCATTTAGATATTAGAGATCAAAACGTACTGGTCAAGTATTCGAAGCATCTGGTTGCCAAAGCAAACATCAGACAATCAAAGGAGCAAACACAAAACGCCCCACTCAGCCTCTGGTAGCCGGGTGAACTTAAGAGGGCATCTCCCCGCTAGGAGAGTCAGGAGCAGGCAAAGCCCATCCCTCAGAGAATCCAGGGCGGATCACTCCCTGCGTCCTCCTCCGCCCCTCCCAGCTCCCTCGGTGCAGATACTGGAGTGTGAAGTGCACTTCCGACCTGGGCACAGTAAACAAAGAGCCGTGCTGACATAGGTGCCGCAGCCCTGTCTACGTCGGTGTCTTCTGATGAACTTCGTGGTAAAGTTTTCACCTGAGTGTGACGCTCTCCTCCCTCCTGCCACACCCTGGCTTTCCTCCTGGCCTGCTGCGTCCCCCGTAAGGAGAATCTCACCTGAAGAGCTTCCCACTTGTTGCTGGTCTTGTTTTCCTTTAGGCTGGATCTAAGGTAGCTTAGGAAATGTCAGGTAAAACATGAACCTAATTACCCAGTGCACACAGTCCAGCCAAGAAGGACCTGTGAAACTTTGAGAAGTCTTTCTAAGTCTTCAGAGGAGTTCTAACAAGTTTTTCTATCGTCCAGTGATACTAGCCTGAGGACTTTTGTACCTATTTTGGATTAAGATTCCGTATTTTATTATTTATCCTGCTGGGAGCACTTGGCTCACCCTTAAATACAGCTTTGAGCTTTCTTTGCAAATCAAGGCATAGTAAAATGTATCATTCCACCTACACAATAAAACAAGAGGCCATGCAAGTCTTAAGGTTTGATTGTCACACGAGTGGGATTTTCAGAATTGCAGTTCATTCCCCGAAGAGGCTGCCGTGTCCCCGCCTCCGCCTCTGGGCTCCTGGGCTGAGGGTCACCTTGATGCAGAGCCCCAGAGCGGACTCCCTGTCTGTCTGTGGACTTACAAGGGCTTGGAGCCGCATTCTTTCCTTTGAAATTATAGGATGTGCTTGCTATTATGGTGACTGAGCACTTGTTTCTAATTCCCCTTCTTTTGCTATTGCTAATGTCATTTGTTACCGATGCTAATGTGCTTAAATGGTAATAAGACTGTAAAGTAACTGCATTATACATATTCTAAAAACATATGCATTAAGTGGGTCTTACAAATAGTGGTAGGATAGAATGCTTGCTACACATGAGTCCACCGAGGGCCTCAAGCCCCCTCCACTAACTTACTGGGGCTTTTTTAGAAATTCAAGAACTGAAACTATGGAGGTTAGGACCACTGGCAAACACCTTTACAATGGGAACTCTGACCCCCAGCCTCCTCTGAGGATGGCAGAAGTAGAGACCACGACGAGATGGGGTCCTCAGTGAATAAGGCCAAGCTAGAGTCCAGTGGGGCAAGCGTAGTCCACGGCAGAGTGACCGTGAGCTGTGGGCGGGTCGGTGAAATGCCTCATGTTGCGGGAGACGCAGCCACTTACAGGTACCTGATGATGACCAGGAAATCGTGAAGTTGTAAAGTTCAGAGCAAAGTGTTCTACTTGGAGGAGGAGAACGCTGACAGGGGAGAAGAGCAGGCTCGCTTCGGATCAGTTCCGTACGGCATCACGGTCTGTACCGGTTAGTCCTGCTTGTTCCTGCGTTCCTCCCCTCCACGCGCTTGCGCACGCGCACTATTTTTCCATAGAATTCACAGGCAGCGTATCAGCAAACATCTGCTCAAAGAGTTTCATTGTGAGAGGACTCAAAAACATTTCTGATGCAGATTACAAACCCCTTCAAAAGTAACATTTTTGCCTGCTTCATACCATAAGCCAGGGTGCTGAAAAACAAAGCTGTGACAATTGTCCTTTTAAACAGAAAACTTAATGAATTCTTGTTATTCTTCAAGAACCTGGACTCCTGTTCTCTATTTGGGGGAAAATGTTACATCTTTATGGTTTGTTTTCTTTTTTTCTTTTCTTTTTTTTTTTTTTTTTGAGACAGGGTCCCACTATGTAGTTCAGACTGGCCTTGAGCTCACTTTATGGCTTAGGCTGGTCTCGAACTTGCAGCAATCCTCCTGCCTCAGCCTCCCGAGTACTGGGATTACGAGTTTGTGCCACCACGCCCGGTTTGTGCTTTATTTTCTTGACAGGGCGTGTGAGCTGCATGCAGAGCGTTTTTTGATGAGGGTGAGGGAGAGCCTGTAAATTACCATAAAGGTGTTTAGTCGGTTAGCATAAATTTGGGGTATTATAAAGCTTGGTGGAGCAACCTCTCACCGAAGGTGGACTCAAACTGAATAAACAAGCCTGTATTTTCTGTCCTTCGGGCTGGCCTCAAAGAATGCGCGGAGCGCCACCTGCTGGTTGCTGCTTTTTCAGAACTATTTTTTTCCTACTCAAACTCACTTAAAATTGATACTATGCGCGTGTGCGCGCGCGCGCACGCGTGTGCACGTGTGTATACATACAGAAGCAAGAAAGAGGCACACAAAGTTTCATGTAGAAACGCAGAAAGTAGCACATATTACAAGTATCCCTTTTTCACCTGAAGCTATTTTATTATAAAACATTACATAATAATGTTAAGTTTACCTTAGTGTAGATATCCGGAAACCTTTCAAATAAGGAGCAGATTGAATTTCTCTATTTTAGAATAGATCATCTGTTCTGAAGTTTTATATATACATGGAATAATTACTCAAATTCTCTGAATGTACCTGCATCAGACATGAAAATTTCCACTTAGTACAAAAAAATGAAATTTAAAAGTAGATAAGCAAAGCACCACCCCACCACTTCTTTTTGTACAGCTAGATGCATCTAAAGAACGTAAGTTTATCTTCATTGTGTTGGAACGTAAAGGTATACGTTAAACTACGTGACAGCTTTTTGTTAATTTTTGAAAAAGACATTATAAGTTGGCTCACTGAAACACTCACGCATACTGCATATTTTATTTATTATTTTAAAAAACCCTCCATGATCAAAGAATCTCCATGGTGGGAAAAGTAGAAAACAAGATGCTTCCCGAAATAGTTATACTTCACGCAAGGCGTGTCTGTGAAGATTTCTGTGTCATTTATGATTACGTCAAGCTTGAGTCCTGGTGTCTGACATCTCTGGCCTTGGAGCAGCATGGTGACATGGCCTTGCGTTGCACCCAGGTTCCGCACGCCTGCCACAGGGAGACCCCACTCCTGCCCTCCCCGGACCCGCAGAAGCACCTGAGGCCGTTGTTACTGTCCTGAGGAGGTCCTAACACGTTCTGTTCTATCTAACAGTGGATTGTAAAAAAAAAAAAAAAAAATCACCTGTTGGAGAGCTCTTATAAGAATGAAACAAACACAAACATTAATGTGAAATTACATGTTGTAATGAGACACAAATTGTCATCCTCAGAGTGTGAAGCGTAATTACAGGAATCACAGGACATGGCCATTGGTCCTGGTCCTCAGAGCCAGCTCTGCTGGCCTTCAGGAGACCCCAGCGCTGATACGGCAGGGTGCTGGGCAGGAGCTGGACTCTTTCCCCTGACCCCGCCTGCCCCAGCCCACTCCCACCTCGGTCCACACCTCTAAGCCAACTCCCTGGGGAAGTTTAATGAGTCTCTTGGGATTAAAAAAAAAAATCTTTTTTCTTAAAGAGCAAAACAAAGCAGTTTAATGAAAATGGACAAGCAGACGCAGGCGCAGAGGTTCTTTTCCAGCCTGGTGCTTGGGGCTTTTACTGGGCTCCCGGGATGGCAGTTGACACCAGAGGGGTAGAAGGAGGAAAGAAAGAATTTCAAGTGCAATGCACTTGTGCTATTGGTTCCTCCACAGAGCTGGGTGCGTTGCCTTCTTCCACTCCCACCCTTTCCCTTCCACCTCATGTCTCTGCCTCTCAGGCTGCACAGAATGGAAGTGCAGCTTCCCCAACACAGCAGCCCTAACGGAACCGCAGGATGAGCTCGGATTACTCACAAGCTTTTACGTTGTGTGTTTTGGTGGAGATTTTCTCCCTTCTGCTCTTGATTGTGGGTGAAGAATGGTGTTTTAATAGGCAGATGGTAAAGACAGTTACAGTTAGGGCCGCAGTGGGAGTTAAGTCAGTTTATTGCAAATTATTAGTTGATAAATGCTTTTGTTTACAAGCAGAGTCTTAAGCAGCTTTGTAATCAGTTTATCAGCTGCAGGCAGAATCTTGACAGCTCACCTTTGGGGTGTGACTTCACCTCCAGGGTGGTCACTGGTCCACCTTGGTGAGTGGAGCCTTCCAAGGAGCCCAGTGCAAACCCAGGAATGCGGAGGAGATTCCAGGAGCAGAGCTGCTTTCTGTTGGAATCCCGTAAAATTATCTTATCTACTTGACTAAAGCCAGGGTTGACTGCCTGAGTCTCATGCCCTCCAACACATTAGTTCAAAAACTTTTCCAGAAGGTTCTACATGCTTTTTTATCCGTGGGTTAAACTTTCTGCCATGCACTTCAGCAGAAATCTGGAGCTGACCACAGTGATGCTGTTTGCTTTCTCTAGAAGGGGCTTCCTGTGTCTTTCAAAAGGGAACGGAAATCATCTCCATTGGAGATGTATTCTTACAGGCAAGAAATAAGTACTCCTGAGAGAACTCAGGCCGAGGGAAGAGATCTGCTGGGATCTGGGACAAACTAAGGCCAGAGACTTAAGTGGAGAGGACAGGAAAGCATAGGAAACACACGGGCTCCAGTTTTCTTGTCTGTACAATGTGACAACTGTACTCTTAGTCATGCAGCTAATCCCTTTAGATTAATTAAAAACCTCATATTTCTTTGTTCCTGAGTTCTGCCCAGACCAATGTTGCTTGTTAAGTTTACACTAAGGAATTAAAGATCTCAGATTTGAAATGACAAATAAGTCACAGATACTTCAGTAAATTCATTTCCCAAATAGTTGCGGAAAGAAGGTGCCCCGCCACCTGCCACGAGGGTGTGGCTATACCCCGAGGGTGCACAGCTGGATCCTGCAGGTGATCATTCGTAAGCCAGCTTCTACCTCTCACCCTACAAGCTTTGTGAACTTAGTCAAACCAACAGTATTCAAATAAATAAACACATACAATGGCTCCTAAGTCTTTTTTCTTCTTAGCTAATGAGTACTACTGATGTTTTATTTCCTAGTATCCAAGAAAAAGCTACAGAGCTAATAGGGAACAAAGTAGAGTGAGAAGCCGTATTTCACAGCTGGAATGAGCATACCATGTTCTGTAAAACCTGGGCACAATACACAAAGTTCTGAGGAAACAGGACTCATCTGGCTGACACGTTCTAATGTGTAGGTAGCATGTAGAAGCAAACTCTTCTCTTTGTCTTAGAAATATGGTGAAGTATTTCTGTTTCTGTGTGTCCCTGCTTCCTATTCTTTCTCTGTTCTCAATGAAAATCCTAAAATCACTGTAACAGAACAAGCTGCATTGAACCTGACCACATGGGTTGACAACCTCTGTAATTTGGAAGCTGAGTTGACATAAGCTCACTTGCAAACATTTGGGAGAAAACCAGAATGTAGCTTCTATCCTGTTCCCTGTTCAGCGCTCTGGGCCTGGTTTTCCTGTTCTCAATCAATCAGACGTTCCATTGGCCACAGAGGAAGGGCTGCCCATGAGAGAGCTGGAGAGCGAATGCTTCCATAAAGTAAATTATAAACTGTGCTTTCACATAAAAAGTACGTTTTCTGTCATTCTCCGCATCAAGCGGATGGAGGATAAAGGGTGCATTGGCGAGGAGTTCTGCCGTTTGTCCTTCTCCTTTGATTAGAAAGGAGGATTAAAAAAACAAAGCAAGACTGTCCTCTCCTTTGCCCAAACACCAAAGGCATGTGGGGTAGCTGATAGGGGTGGCGTGTCCCTCCTCCCGGGAGCTGCTGCGCTGCTGTGTGAGATGGAGTGCTGGGATGGGAAAGTCAAACGGCCCAAAATGCCCTGCGCTGCCTGTGTAGTACAAATGAAAAATGTTAAGATTATTTTTAAAAACAGGAAAGACCTTTTGCGAAATGGTTTTGATTTATTGCTATGCATTGTGCAGATCTTTATCAATTAGTCTTACTCTGCTGTATTCAAAAAGTGTTGGAAACTATGAGCTGGCATGTTGCTGCATACGGAAAATAAGGCATTCATCAACTGCAAATAAACAAGTGCACAGATCTGTCTCACAACTATGAAGTAGTTAATACATTTTTAAGCAATTTTACTATAGAAAAGAGGGCTAAAAGAGTAGTGCTTAATTATCTGGACTCCTCGGTGCTGGCTCCCTTTTGATTGTATTAATGAAGCAGCTGGCCCATTGTCTCCCTTTAATTCCTCCATTGTTTTAAGAATATGTCACAGCTCTTTATTCTTTTATCAGGTGCAGTGCAGGAGGATGCACACAATGCCTCGTGTTCCTACTGTATTTGCCGGTGCACAAAGACACCTCCAAAGCGGTTTTCAAAGAAGGGGCGCCCATAATTTATAAGTTCCACTCCTCACGCTGCTCCTCTGTCACGAATGTCAGCCGTCCTGGAGTTGAATTCACTGTGAAATTTGTACAGAGCAATGTGGCTCCGTATAGATATATGTCCTGTGTTCACGTCCAGACCCCAAGATCTGGACAAGAACACACGTGCCTCGTGGAAATGGGGCAAGTATTTAGCTTTTAGGGAATTAATCTGACCAACCACTTCGCACTTATGAAAACGTTCTATTTCGCAAGGAGCCATGGGTGTGAGTTTGTATTCGGCAAAGATAAAGTTAATGACCAAATGAGTATTCCCCTTTTCTCTGGCTCTAGG